TAGTATATATATATATATATATATATATATATATATATATATATACCACAACTTCGCGTATACAAGAATATACGCACACATATATATAGAACGTACCAGTTATTTTTTAAAAGGTAAGCACTTTACATATTTATATAAATATATATGTATTTAAATGGAGGATCATAGTTTTATTTATCCAAACCAACTATATTATTAGATGTCTAAGATATTAATGAATAATAAAATAATCTAGAAATTTGTACACAAATTTTAATAATATAGGGAAAATAGAGATTAATATTTAATTTATTATTATTATCTAATAATACCATGAAAAACAAAAGTAAAATAAAGTAAAACAAAATTATTCAAGGAAATATTTCTTAATACTAATAACTCATACAAATAGCACAATTCAGATAATGGTGTACCTGTGGAGTATCACATTCTCCCATCCGTATAAGAATTTAGTCCCCAAATTCTTCCTAGAATAACTCCGGGTAATGTTCCTTCATCTCCTTCTCCGGTTCCCAGGTGGCATCTTCGTCTCGATTGTGGTTTTGCCAAACCACCTTAACCAGTGGAATTTGTCTCTTCCTTAACACACGAACTTGACGATCAATAATGCGCAGTGGTTTTCTAAGCACGTCAAGTTATCCATGATGGGTGGAATGTCTCTTGTAATAACATGTTATGGATCGGAACTATACTTCTTCAATCTTGAGACATGAAATACGTCATGCATGCCAGCAAGGGTACTCGGTAAGTCTAGGCGGTAGGCTAGCTGGCTGATCTTCTTAAGGATCTTGAATGGGCCAACATACCTTGGGCTAAGTTTCCCACCTTTCTTGGATTTTATTATCCCCCTCCTTGGTGATAATATGAGGAACACCTCATCCCCACAATCGAACTCTAGATCCTTTCTTTTTTTGTCGGCATAGTTTTTCTGACGACTTTGTGCAGTGCGTATCCTTTCCCTAATTAGGCGAACTTTGTCCACTGCTTCTTGAACTAAGTCAACTTTTGGTACATATGTTTAACCTTTCTTTGTCTTGGGTACCCACCGATCATCAATTTCCCAATGAAGTGGCGATCTACATTTCCTACCGTAAAGAGCCTCATATGGTGCCATGCCAATTGTGGCTTGGTAGCTATTGTTATAAGCGAACTCAACCAATGGCAAATGATTGTTCCAATTCCCTTGGAAGTCTAACGTGCAGGCTCGAAGCATGTCTTCCAGAGTTTGGATTATCCTCTCTGGTTGTCAGTTAGTTTGTGGATGAGCTGTTGTACTAAAGCTCAAAGACGTACCCAATTCTAGGTGTAGACTTTTCCAAAATCTCGAGACAAATCTCGGATCACGATTAGAGACTATATCTATGGGTACTCCGTCAAGTCTGATTATCTTCGGAATGTAAGTTCGGGCTAACTTTTGCCAACTGTCTGCCTTCTTCACTGTTAAGAAATGGGTTGACTTAGTGAGTCTATCCACT